GGGCTGGTCTCTCCCCCCCGGACAGGAGAAAAGTCCTCTCTGAAGCTGGTAACACCCCCCCCCCCGGAGGAACAGACCACTTGGCAATCGACACACACGTGGGCTCTAGCTCCCCAGGTCAGCCCCCTTTCCAGCCAGGCCTCGCGTGGAATCGTGGCCATGTACGCAGCGGTGCCCAGTGGCTCCCCGTTGACACAGAGGGATGGTGGGTGCCGTGCCGACTGGGCTGTCCGGGTGCCAGAGTGGCAGCGGGGGTGCTGTGGAGGCCGTGGGGGGGGGCTTGACGCCGTCTCCATCCCGCTGTCCCTGCTCCCGCAGCTGCTGTGCCGGCGCCAGGAGGGCGAGGCCGTTGCCCTGAAGGGCCTGCAGAAGGTGCAGGAAGACAAGCGGTCTCTTCAGGAGCGCCTCGGCAGCTTGCAGAAGGCCCTGGCGCAGAGGGAAGGCGAGAAGCGGGACGCCGAGCGCGCCTCCCTCCGGCTGGAGAAGGACAGGGCGGCCCTCAAAAAGACGCTGGACAAAGTGAGGCCTCGCCCCCTTCCCGGCTTGGTCTGGGGCTTGGGCGGGAGGGCGTCTCTGGGGGGGCGGGGGAAGCCCGTTTGCAAAGCCACGGGATGGGCAGTCGGGTGGACTGACCGAGATGCTGGCCGTAAAGGGGGGGGGAGAGAGAGTGGCATTAGACTGAGGAGCTGTACGTTTGTGGAAGGAAAGGTGACTCTAGGCTCGTTCACAGTACCACTCCTTGGGTAGATGCAGCCCCCCCCCATCGGTGAGTGGGGCATCCAGGCCAGATCACTAGGAAGGCCACTCGTGTGGGTGGGTGTTTTTGTGCCCCGGCACAATCTGCGGGCATCTGCTTGGCTGGTAGGTGGAGCGAGAGAAGCTCAAGACTCACGAGGAGTCGGTGTGGCTGTCAGCCGAGAAGGGGCGGCTGGACCGCTCCCTCACCAGCGTGGAGCAGGAGTTGGCCGAGGCCTATCAGCAAGTCCAGCTGTTGGAGGTAATCCTCCCCCCCCCCCGCTTGCCCGGGCCTCCCTCTGCCCCCCCCCCCGAGCCACCCCTGCCTGCTGGGGACTGGGCAAAGGCACTGTTTGCCAGCCGGGATGGAGCAGGCTGCTGCTCCCTCCTCCTGGCATCAGACACCCATAGTGGGGGGCGGGAGGGGGGAGCTGGCCGGCCATTCATCCTCCTCCCCCCTGCCCTCTCCCTAGGCGCGGGTGGTGGAGCTTGAGCAGTCCCCCGGGCGGAAGGCAGCGGAGGCTTCCCTCCAGGTGGAGCGGGACGGCCTGCGGGTCTTCCGGATGCAGGCAGATGCCCGGCAGCATGCCCACCACCAGCAACAGCGGCAGGCGAAAGGCCTGGAGGAGCAGGTGAGCGGTGCCTCTAGGCCTGGGCGGGAACAAAGACTTGGTGGTGTGCGCGTTTGCTTCTGCGGGTGGGACAAGACCCCCCAACAGCAGCATGTGCCCCTTCCCCTCAGCAGAGGTGGCTGGCTGGCCCCCTTCTCTTCCAGGCTCTCTTGGCGGGCTTAAGGGCTGGAAGGTTTGATGGGCAAAGGCCCGCGCCCACCACCTACGCCCTTGCTCACAGGGTGTAGTTGGGAGGAGATGCGTGGGGGCTGGCCGGCCAGGAGTGCTTCTTTTGCCCCCCCCCCCCCTTCTGCCATTCTCCTCCACCTGCTCCACAGAGGCTCTCGGAGGTGCGGACTGTGGCGCCCCCCGCTTCTCTGCCACAGGCCCCACAAGGCCTTTCCTGCCGTCTGTCCTCCCGACAGGTCCTGATGCTGAAGGAGCAGCTCCACGAGGCGCAGGCGGGCCAGTCTCCACTCACTCCCTTGCCCCTCTTCCCCGGCAACTAGCCACCGCCTGCCTGCCTGCCTGTCCACCGGCTCCTTCTTCCAGCCCCGGAGGCGGCGCACAGGGCGACGTCTGTGTGTGTGTGTGTGTGTGGACTTGCCAGCCCTCCCTTCCCTCCCAGGCAGCAGCCTGACGTGAAGCAGTTGCTGAAGGAAAAGAAAAAAGTCTCTCTGCATCTCCCCTCTTTTGGTGGGGTGGAAGGCTTTTCCTCTCCTGGAGCTGCGATGATGCGTTAAGTGCCAGACAGGACTTTCATGGGGGGGGCCCCCTGAAAATATACCACCGCGCTCCTCCACAGCTAGAAGCACCACCAGTGCAGCTTCCAGGGCAAGGAAGAGGGTTGCTGGTAGGCCAGGCAAGGGCCCTGGGTCCCGGACCACCCACCCCCTACCCCCCCCCGCCCCAGAGGAGGCTCCTCTGGCCCACAGAGAGAGAGAGCAACAGCCGGGCGCTGGGAGGGGCTCCCTCCCCTCCGGAGTCTCTCTGCTGCTGCTGCCCCCGTGGGTGGAGGGGGCCCAGGCACCCATCAGGGCTTTCTGCTGTGGGGTGTGGCCCATGTCCAGGCATAAATGGTTCATGCACAGGTGGTGTGTTCTCCCTCGGTACATTTTTCTCTGTGGGGCTTTGTAACATTTTAATCCAGAAATGCAAAAAGCTTTATTTTTGTATAGGGTGCGTTTGTGTGGGTGAGGGGGCCCTGGGGTTAGGGTCAGACAAGCACACAATAAAGGTTGCTCTTGAGCAGGCCCCGGACTCTTTGTTTGCTTCTGCAAGAAGGGGCGGGGGAGGGGGGCAGGCAGGTACCCCAGGGCAGTGTGGGGACGGCCGGGCCCTTCTCCTGCCTCAGGGCAGTGGGCGAGGCTGCCCGTGACTCTTGGAAGGCAGAGACACCCCCCACCCCCACGAGTGTGCTGGAAACTGGCTCTGCTTGGGGGGGCAGGGCGGGGAGCAGTCCAGCACTGTGCCCTCCAGGTGCTTGAAGGCGGCCCGAAGACCCTCCAGCCATTGTGGGAACAGGGAGAGACCAGCCGGCTGCAAGCTGTGGTAATACGTTCGGTTTATTTCACGTTGCGTAGAAAAGGAGTACTGAATGAGGCAGGCTGAAAGTCCCAGGAGCTCAGCATTCATAGCCCACCCCCAGAAACTGGCAGCTCTGCTGGGGCCTTTCCAAGCACAACGGGGGGTGGGGGGTGGGGGGGAGTGGGAGGGAGAGCCGCTTCTTCCTCTTGTTGGCTTTTTAATATGACAGTGTGCACATACACACACACCACCACCACCCCCAGGTGCTGCCTGCTCTGCAGCTTCAGCCAGCAAGAAGGGCAGAGGCGGCCTTTGAGGATGCCGTGCGCCAGACGGAGGGGGCAGGCCGATCCCGCCCTGCTGCAGGGAAGGCCCGGCTTGCTGGACTGTGGGGTGCCCCCGCTTAGCAGCCCCCACAGCTTCTGGCACAGGAGGTAGCCACGCTCTGGCACAAGCCGCTGGTCGCCATCACGCTGCACCTGGAGAACTTGTCACGGCAGAGGTCAGCTGCAGGAAGCACAAAGGTGAGGCGAGGGGCCTGCCAGCCACTCCTGGCCCCTGCCTTCCTCCCACCCCCCCCACCCCCTCCGTGGGCCCAGCCCTCCCCTTGTGGAGGGGAGGCCGTGCTGCTGCGCTGCCTGTTCCTCACAGGAACCATCAGGCCGGCCTGTAGCACCTCAGACCCGCCGTGGTTCTTTCTTTGGGGGGGGCGGAGGGGGGGAGCAAGGAGGCAAAGCACAAAAACCGCCTTACCTCTGAGCAGCTCTTCGTGCCCCCCCCCCAGGCAGAGCTCTTGGCTCCCCTGCTGCAGAGAGCGCAGATCGGCCAGGGCCTCCCCCCACCCGCCCTCCCTCCCTCGCTCTACTGGGGATCCCAAAGAAGCCCACCAAGACCCCCACAAATTATTCTCTGCGTTGGGAGTGGGGGAGGAGGAAGTGAGGCAAGGTGCTGGGGGAGGGGGGCACTAGGGTTAGGGTCAAACCACGATTGGCTGGAAGAAACGTGTGAAACCTGACCAGCCTGGCTAGTCACCAGCCCCCTCCCCCCCCCGCCTGAGGGAAGGCCTGGACCGCCTAAGCCCCCCACCCTCGAAAGGAACCTGGGAGGGAGCGGCAGCCGCTTACTACCTGTAGAAGCAGAGCTCGTTCAGGCACTGCTTGCAGGGCTTGTGGACCGAGTACAGCCGGGTGCAGGGGTATTGCTCCTCCTGGCAGTCTGTGGGGCACAGGAATGGGGGGGGCAGGGGTGTGTGTGTGTGCATGCGGGGGGGGGGTTATGTGGCAATCGTGCCCCCTCAGTGCGGGCGGCAGCAGCAGCAGCTGCTTCTTAGCGCTGGAGCCTCCACCGGAGTGCCTTTGGCAGCAGCCTTTCCCGTGGCCTGTAGGCCAAGAAGGAGCCCCGCAGTGCTCTGCTGCACCTCCTGCCACCTACCAAGAGCATGGCGGTGGCAAGACCCAGGCTGCTGCCATTAAGGCCGCCACGGCACACCCAGCAGGCAACTAGCACTGCCAGTTCTTGTCCTTTTTGGCCCCTTGCAGCCCAGTTTCTGTTCCTAGCTGGTTCTTCTCATTCCGTGCTCTCCCAGCTATGTGCTAGAAAAACACACACACACACCGGCTTTGTTGGCCTGGGCCAGTCCAAGTACAGGGTGGGGGCAGAGACTCAAAAGGGTTGGAGCAGCAGGCACCACCACACAAGCAAATCTCCCCCCCCCCCCCCCACGTCTTCTGATCCAAGAAATGTTAAGAATGATAGGATTTGCCAGTATTGGGAACCACAACACCTGTGTGCATAAACTGAAGTGTCTAGTCAACACTCCCCCACCTCCCCAAGGATCTCCCCCCCACACACACAAGTCATGGAGGGCAGCGGTCAGCTGTGCCTCTTACCAAAGGGCCCGGGCTCTGTGGGCTCCGTCTCCGGCGTGCCTAGAAGAGGGGGGAAGAAGACAGACACACCATCTGAGGCCACGGAGCGGGGGCGGGCGAGCAGCGGGCACTGCAACGAACTGCTTCCAAGGGCAGCCTTTCTGCTCCAGCCGCCTGTTGCTTTGGGGGCCACTGCTGGGCAGCTCACAGTGGGAGGACCGAGGCCCTGGAAAGTGCGTGGGGGGGGGGGGAGAGGAGGCCCTCAACTGGAGATGCCCCCCCCCATGCAGTCTGTGAGGGGTCACCTTGAGGCTCTTGGCAGGAGGCAAGCGTTGGTGCCGACATGCGGGGAGTCTGAGTCTCACGAAGAAGCAAAAGCGGGACCTGGACCTCCTCCCTCTCCCGTGACAGAGAGTGGAGGTGGGAGGGAGGGAGGGAGAAGTCGGAGACCCCAGAGCTCTGAGTGGGTCATAAGCAGCGCTCCCTCCCAGCTGAGTCGGTGTGAGCCAGCTCACAGGTTTTTTAGCCTCCGGCTCATGCATTTTTGTCTTCGCTCAGGAAGGGACGGCTCCTGAGCAATCTAATTTATGCAGCAGCAGCCCAATCGCTCGCTCACAACTTTAATGCCAGGAGCTCACAAAGTGGAATTTTTGCTCACGAGACTCTGCAGCTTGGAGGGAACGGCAGCACTTATGGCTTTTTTTTTTTGGGGGGGGGGGTTCTGTCCTCTTCCCAAGCCCAGCATCAAGGCAGGGGGGGGTGTCCACACCCCGCTCCCCTCCCTCCAGCTGCAAATGCCTCCCCAAAGAGGAGGTCTGAGCTGACCTGGGGTCGGGGCCGGAATGACCTCCTGCTGGTTCTGCTGCTGGGACTGGTACGGGTATTGCTCTTCTCCGGGGGTCTGCGAGGCGATGTCTGCAAGGGAAGCACAGGCCCTCAGCCTTCGCCTGGGGGAGACCCCTCCCCCCGTGCTCCCCCCCCCGCCATTGTTCCACCAAAGTCATGGAGGGGGAGAAGACGGCTCACCGTTGCCAGCGTAGTCATAATAGTCTGGACTGTCTGGAAGAGAGGAGGAGGAAGACCACGTTTAATGCCCGGGGGCTTCCCTCCTGGCTTAGCAATGCCAAAAAAAAGAATAAAGACTTGACAAATAAAGCAGGGGTGGGAAGACCAAAGCAGGCAAGTCCCCCTGTGGATCAGATATTGCAAGTGGGGGCTGCCCAGGTCTAAAGTCAGGCCAGGTGTACAGGAAATTATTAAAAGGAAAGAATAAACCCAATTAAGAAAGAAATGTTTAAAGTTGCTGTGATCTTTCCCAGGAAACCTGAAACAGGCTCGCTGAGCAACAGAGCAAGAGGAATCTCCCCTCCCCCACAACATCCGCTGGGCCTCTCTCTTGTACATTTAAGGGGGGGGTGCGTGCGTGTGGGCTCGCCATCTCAAGGCTGAAATACCCCAACACATTTCCATAGGATGACTATCGCCCCCATTGAGCTTAGCAGGATGAAGCCCACTTCTCCTGTGGACAGGATGTCGCCCTGGGAACACGGAGCTGCTGGGAGATCTGCAGGCGGTCCTGAGCACCAGAAAGAGGTCTGGGCCCCGTCCAGTCGCGCAGCACGAAGAGGCCACTGGCTCACCTATTTCATAGGGGATGTATGGCGGGTCATGGTACGCGGGGTCTCCAAGGTCGTACTGTCCCTGGGCCAGAAGCACTGCAAGTGACAAAGACGGAGGAGTTCAGGAGTTGGGTTCTTCATGGGGTCAGATAAAGTGCATGCTCTTGCCAATGAACTTCTGCATGCCTGTAGGATTGCCGCAGACCTTGGAGAGGGATCAGGACCAGTTTCTTTGCAACCCCCCAGGAAGCTGCCACCACCACCTCTCCCAGAATTTAAGAACTGCCGGGTGTCTTTGAGCCACCTTCTCACTTTGGTAGATGCAACGGCAACTGGGACACATGGAAGGCCATGTGCATTGTGGCCCCTGCTTCTTTGGGTGACCCACCCCGTGCACAGCTCTTTCTGCCCCCAGTTAAAATAGTCGCCCCCCCCCCCCAGGGAGGAGCTGTTCATCCCTGAGCTCAGCTTGGATGGGGCTGACACTGCTGGCTTGGGCCAGCTTTTGAGATTTCGCCTGATCTAGTTGGAGCTCTTAGCCTGCCTTTTTGACATGCACATTGCCAGGGCAGTAGCCAGTGGTGGGGCATACGGGGCTTTGCCCTGTCCTCGTGCCCCCTCCCAAGGCTCACCCTCATCCATGCCACCCGGCCTCTCACCTCAGGGCCAGGGCCCTCGGAGGCTGCCCTGTGCAGTGCCCAAGCCGTCCGTCCCCAAGTCGGGTCCCTGTTGCCAGTAGCACCTGGCACGGGTGAGCTGGCTGATGGGGGGCAGCGGCCGGGCAGGCCATGATGGGGCTGAATGCCCAGCTTCTCCCTGCCCCTCGTGCTGCCCTGTCCCCCCCAAGAGTGAGGGGAGGCAGAAGCGTACGCACACCTGGCCTGGAGGCATAATGTGACCCAGGGATGGCTGGGTAAGGAGCTTAAGATCAGGGAAGGGTGGGGTGGGGAGTTAAAACCATTTAACTTGAGGCACCCTCCCCCGGGGAAAATTCCTGTTTACGAGGCTGCACATTGCTTTGTGCAGAACTGCCCAGACAGCTGGCTAAGAAGTATCTCCACCTGTTAACCAACTAAGTCGGACTCCCACAAGTTATAGGGAACAGGCAACATGAACAAGCTCCCCCTGCCCCAGTGATGGAGGGGCCTTACTGAGAGCTCTCCTGGACCCTGTTTACACAACCGTCGTCCTTTGCTTCAAACAAGCCCCCCCCCCCCCAATAGGCCTGCCAAAGGGTGCCCATCAGCCCTCCAGCCCTAAAAGAGCAAATGGGGGCCTCATCTGCTAGTGACTTCCTAGGTCAGTGATGGCGAACCTTTTAGAGACCCGAGTGTCCAAACTGCGACCCAAAACCCACTTATTTATGGCAAAGTGCCAATTGAATACTGAGTTTTTACTTTAGAAAAAACAACCCATACATTAATTTAAGATGATCCAAACAAAGCAAGGAAAGCAATCCCAAATGCTTTCATTTACTTAAAATTATTTGGCAAAGAATGCAACACTTTAATGATGGTCTGGGGCTTGCTGGGGCGATGGCACATGTGCCCACAGAGAGGGCTCTGAGTGCCACCTCTGGCACCCGTGCCATAGGTTCGCCACCACTGTCCTAGGTGAACGGGATTCGATCTCCCACACTCCAGACTCACCCCTAGAGTGACGAGCTCTCTCTGCATGCCCCCCCCTTCTCGATCAGTTCATATCAAGACCCTCTGCTCCTTTGAGCTGCACCTTCGTAGCACTGCTGCTCTGGCCGGGCAGGAGGGGCAGTTTGCTGAAGTCCGGATTGGCACTCACCTGGCAAGCAGAGGACAAAAAGGCCCAGAGTCCTCATGGCCTAGCAGGGGCACGGCCAACCGCTGGGAGGTAGCTGGGAGAATCTGAGGCAGGCTGTGGGGGGGGGGGAGGGACGGCATTAACACAGGAACAGTCCAGGAACTCATGACAAGCTGCACACAACCAGTGTTCCCTCTAAGCTGAGTTAGTGTGAGCTAGCTCACAATTTTTTAGCCTCCGGTTCACACATCTTTGTCTCAGCTCAGGGAGGATGGCTCCAAAGCAAACTAATTTATGCAGTGAGTAGCCTAATCACTCGCTCACAACTTTAATGCTAGTAGCTCACAAAAGAGAATTTTTGCTCACAAGACTCCACAGCTTAGAGAGAGCATTGGACACAACACAAGTCATGAAAGGCAGCTTTGCAGAAACCGGACAGGTTTTTGACCATTTGCATGGAAATGTAGCAGATTTATTTGTAAACAGCCATGCACAAATGAGTAGTACACTCAAAGAACTATGGCTCTCCACTTCAGTGGTCCTGGCTCTGTAGGACTGCAAGTATAAAGATGTTGTTTGCTTACGTTATTTATATTCCACTTTTCTCACTGATACGCAAGGTATTGTGACACAATGCAAATCCATGAAGTCTTCAAGATAAGACAGCTACTAAGCAATATAATAGGGCTATAGGCTTACAGAAATTTGAAGCAAATCATAAATACCAGACATATGTTAAACAATGCAGAAAATGGTAAGTAAAGTAAGTAAGAAACAATGCAGTGAGAATGAGACCATACATATCGCAACAGATAAAGCAAACTGAAGCTGAACCCCGAGAAGATGGAAGTGCTACTGGTGGGTGGGTGGAAGGCCCGGCCTGGGATCTGAGAGGTCATCCCATCTGGCTGGGGCTACATGATCCTCGACGAAGGAGGTCCCTACTCTGAGGGGGCTCTTGGGTCCACGGCAGGCCAGCCGGCCGGCCACCAGATCAGCAGGAGGCAGCCAGGGCCCGGAGTGCATCGCTCCCAGCTTGAGCCGGCTAGCCAGCTGCGGCCCTTCCTGGGCAGAAACGATCCAGCCCCTGTGCTGCGGCCCCCTGCTTGCCTCTGGCTGAGATGGCCGCGATGCCCTTGGCGTGGGGCTGCCCTCGAAAAATGCGCCGGAAACCTCCGTTTGTATGGAACGCTGCAGCAAATATGCTGGTTGGATTGGGTCGTAGGGGCCATCTACACGGGCTCCCTATCTGTTCCTGGGCACAATTCAACATGTTCCCCAGGGAGAAGAAGAAGAGTTGGTTTTTATACCCCGCTTTTCTCTACCCTAAGGAATTTCAAAGCAGCTTACAATTGCCTTCCCTTCCTCTCCTCACAGCAAGCACCTTGTGAGGTAGGTGGGGACTGAGAGAGTTCAGAGAGAGTGGTGACTGGCCCAAGGTCACCCAGCAGGCATTGTGTGGTGAAGGGGGAATCAAACCTAGTTCTCCAGATGAGAGTCTGCAGCTCTGAAGCACCACACCACACTGGCTCTCCAAGGGAGACACGCCTGTCTTCTTGCTGCCTTCTGCCACTAGAAGACTGTTTTGTTTAGCATTCCCTAAATGATCCCTGATGCTGGGAAAGATTGAAGGTCAAAGAAGACGGGGACAGGAAAGGATGAGATGGTTAGATAGCGTCATAGACGCAACGAACATGAAATTGAGCAAACTTCAGAGGACGGGGGAAGACTGAAAGGCCTGCCGTGATCTGGTCCATGGGGTCGCGAAGAGTCGGACTCGACTGTGCGACTGAACAACAACAAATGATCCCTCCTTCCTAACCAATTTTTTTAATGTTTTGTTATGTATTTCAACTGTTTTCTATATAGATCCAGGTGGGGGCAGCTGCGTTGGTCTGAAGCAGCAGAACATTTGAGTCCAGCCGGGCACCTTTAAGACCAACAGAGTTTAATTCCAGGTAGAAGCTTTTGTGTGCACGCATACTTAGGAAGACTGGTCTCAAACTTTATTCTGTTTTATATATGTTTTAACTCTTGTTAGCCACCTTGGGGGCCCTTGTAAGGGCATAAAAGCAGGATATAAATTTTGTAGAGAATCAATCACAGAGTTGGAAGGGGCCATACAGGCCATTTTGTCCAAACCCTCCCCCCCCCCCCCCCAATGCCGGAGCAAGCCTAGAGCATCCCTGATTTTTTTTTGTCCAGCCACTGCTTAAAGGCTGCCAGCAAGGGGGAGCTCACCACCTCCCGAGGCAGCTGATCCCACTGTGGCACAGCTCTTGACTGTAAAAAGGTTTTTCCTCGTATCCAGCCAGTACCTTCCCACCCTTCATTTAAACCCATTATCGCGAGTCCTATCCTCGGCTGCCAACATGAACAGCTCCCTGCCCTCCTCCTCAAAGTGACAGCCCTTCAAATACTTAAACAGAGCAATCATGTTCCCTCTCAGCCTCTTCTCCAGACTAAACATTCCCAAGTCCCTCAGCCTTTCTGCATAGGGCCCTTGGTCTCCAGGCCCCCAATCATCCTTGTCGCTCTCCTCCGTACGCACTCCACTCTGTCCACATCCTTTTTGAAGAAAGGCCTCAAGAACTGCACACAATACTCCAGGTGCAGCCTGACCAATGCAGTGTACAGCGGGACTATGACATCTTGCGATCTGGATGTTATGCCTCTGTTGATGCACCCCAAGATCATATTAGCCTTTTTTTGTTGCCACATCTCACTGGCTGCTCATATTTCACTTTTGGTCCACCCTTACCCCAAGATCTTGTTCACACACACTGCTACTCAGAAGTGTATTCCCATCCAGTATGCGCGTTCCTCATTTTTGTTAACCAGATGTAGAAGTTGGCACTTAACCCTTGTTAAATTGCATCTTGTTCACACTTTTCCAGCATGTTCAGATCTAGTTGAAATCTATATCTTCTGGTGTGTTCACTGCTTCTCCCAATTTAGTGTCATCTGCAAATTTAACAAGTTGCCGCTCCACACCCTTATCCAGATCATTTATAAAAATATTGAAAATTCCGGCATCAACAATGCAAAGTTGACAGAGATTATCGTCAAAGTTTATCTGGTCATAAAAAAAAAACCCTGAATCTCTCTGTTTTGCAAAGAATGAAATATGATGGAGGGGTCCAGTGCCCAATGTGGAAGTGTATTTATCTGCTATCAAAATTAAACATACCAAAATAGTTGCACATTAACAATTGTCTGTGGTATCAATTGGAACAAGATAGTTCTAAAATTCCACTTGAGCATTTAGCATTTAAATCAAATTAACCCCCCCCCCCAATATATTTTCCAAATGAACCCATTTGGGTTAAATTTAACAAAATAGAAATAAATTTCCACATACAAATGTGCGTGTGTGTGTGTGTTTCTTGTTTGTTCTTTACAGATTTTGCTGTAAACCCTTCAGTGTATTCAGCCCAGAGGCACACACCAGGTGAGACAGAGGCACACCGGGTGAGGCAAGAACAGACCCTCAGAGCACAGCCTCAATCAGCACTAGACTCACCATGGAAAGAAACCAAAAAATCCATGCCGGTCTTTATGACTGTATCAGAAATGCACTGTGTTTCCCCCACCCCTCCTCCAAACTATTCTTAGGCCAGATGACCCCCCCCCCAACATCTGCCTGAACTAGAAGTAGGCCTCCTACACACAGGCCCGTGTGTGCGCGCACCCCTCCCCCCCCCCCCCCCCGCAAGGTCTCAAGCTCTTTGCTGACTTTGCAAAGCTGCTGTTGAAACTGTGCCTGTGCAGAACCAACAAACTGGAGCAGAATTCCCCTCCGGGGCTTAATATGGAGGGGCCAGGAGGGACTCGGAGCATGAAGCAGTGGGGGGGGGGAGGCAGAAGGGGGGGAATCAGCTGACTATTAACTCAGATAGCAAGTGAGCATAAAGCTCCTGCTGAGAATCACAACACAAACGTGTTCCATAAAGGGGCATGGAATGTCTAATCAGCCTCAATGAAATGATACAACAAAGCCCCCCCCCCCCTCAATAACATTCTCATTTGAAGGGGTGTTTTTTCTGGCTGGGGCCAGTTCACTTCCGAAATTCTGAGCCAGGCTTGCCAGGGAGTAGCTCTTGGATAACCCACTGCCAGTGTCAGCCTCTCAAGAGGAAAGACAGTGCCTCTGAGCACATACAGTGTGCCTTCTGCTAGCTGCAACCAGTACCAAGATCTCCAGCACTGGCCTCCTGCTCTTTCTATGTGAAGCTCTCACACGGCATTCTCTTTGCCTCATTCTGTCCTCACAACAGCCTCTTTAGCCAGAACCGAATGGCGTTCTGCTTTGGTACAAAACTCCCCAGAGGCACCGGGTGGCATCAGCAGCAGCAGCAACAGCGGACTCTGCATGAGGCACGAGCCCCGGCCAAGAGCCTGAGAGGTGAGGGGCCTTTCTTGGATCAAGCCAGCTCAGGATTCAGACCTCCCTTGCTCAGCATGGAGGGCCCTCAAGCACTGCTCAGGCCGCGTGGCTGGGGCCTGCTTGCTACCAGCCACCATTGGCCCAACAGGACATTTCCCAGTGAGTCGAATGACCAGTCTGCCCCTGCACAGAGGCCTTTTCAACATGCTGACTGCTGCCATCCATGGCAAATATGGACTTGTGGCCCACTGCAGAAAGAGAAAATGCTGCCCCCCCCCACTGCCCTGGCCAAGCAGGCCTGCAGCAGGATTACCCCACACACACACACACACACACACACACACACACACACACACACACACACACACACACACACGCTGGGACGAGTCTTGTTTTGTGCTTGAGGAAAGCTTCTTGGGATGTCTCCCTCCCTCACCCCACTGGCTCTTGTGCACTGCCGTTCCCACATGGAAAGCTCAAGTCCTCGGAGGGGGGCTCTCTTGCAGGGCCTGCGGGCACGACAGCACAGAGCTGGGCTACCTGTTGCGTTTGCATTGCTGGGCCAAGTGCTCGAGGAGGAGGGTGCGGCTGCAGTCGCCCAGGTTCTGCTGGGCAGAGGGGGAGTCTGAGGAAGGTGGGGAGGCCCCCGGCCCCCTCTGACCCCCAAGGCCTGGGGGGTATGCCCCCTGCTCCCCTGCTGCACCCCGGTCCTGGCCTGGGTCCCCCCTCCCGCCTTCATGCCCCACTTCAGCCCATGGGAACCACCCAGTGGGCCGCTGGGAGTCCTTGCCCCTCGATACAGCTGCCTAGCCCCTGACTGCGTGCCTGAGGCAGGCGGCCCCAAAGACACCTACGCAGACTGCCCATGACCATGCGCAGAGTCCTTTCCCAGTTCACCCTACTGAGTAATGACCACTCAGGTCAGGAGCTGGAACTACTGGGAGGGGCACAAGTTCTCTTCTGAAGGAATCCACCTAATGCTCAATCCACCTGGAGGGGGAAAGAGGACACCCCCCCCCCCCCCCCCCCCGGGGGGGGCGCAACGTCCGGAGCACGATCCTGCAGCGCCGCCCTGCCCCGCCCTTTCAGAGACCTGGCCGCACTGGCCGCACTGGCCACAGCTGCCACAGCAGCAGAAGGGCACTCTGCGTGTGCTCAGAGATGCTCCTGGAGCGCCCTGGAGGCCCTGAGGCAGAAGCCCCCTCCTGCCAGGCGCTCGGAAGTGGGAAACTCCCCCCAGCCCGACTGTCCAGATGCTCGTTCTTTCTCTGGAAGACACATCTGGCAGCAATCAGCCCACTCGCAAAGCCGCCTCCCCCCCCC